ACCTGATTTAAAGCTACGGCATTTGTTTTTCTTTGCCAAGTGATCACCTGGCTGAAAAATGAGTCCTGGTGTTTTTTGCCTTCTAACACCTTCTTTCTTTTTCTTTCTCCCTTCTCTCCCTCCCCCTCCCTTCCCCTTCCCTCTTTCAGGCAAACTGGCAGGAAAAAAGGTTTTAAAAAGTAAAAAAGGGGGTTCTGTGGATTGTGTGCCTCAAGCCTTTTTTCCCTGCTGGTTCAGGCAAACTGGTTCAGGCATTTCACCCCTGCCTGGAATGCAATAAAGCCCACCCACTGACCTGCTGGTGGCTGCCTAATAGGGTGAGCTCAGAGAAGCCGGAGGGGAGCCTATCGGAGCGCTCTGAAAGAAGGAGGCTGAGGGAAAGAGTGTGTGCTACAGCTTGCTTCCCTCCTCCTTAGTGCTTGCTTGTGCTCCCCTCCCCCATCTAGCTTGATTGCAGGCAGAGCCACATTGCCTTTTACAAGGTTGCTGTTGGTGAAGCTGGGTGCTGGTGAGGGCTGGCTTTTTACATAGCTTTGTCCAGCTGGTGGGCAGGGAGAAATGGCTTCCTCCCCAGGCCCCCAGGGCCATCCATTTCCCTCCCAACAAAGCAGGAGTGGGTTCCTGCCAAATTTATTTCAATGAAGATTGTTTTGCATGTGTGCAATACAGAAATTAAAGATGGTGTCGCCCAGGATGGAACCGGTATGGCCATGTGTCCGGCTGAGTTACTACCTATTCAACTGAACTAGTCCGAATAGGTAGGAACCCACCTCGGCTACGGTCTCTTGTGCGTGCACACCCAACAGGATGACATGGGCTGGCTGGCCCTTTACAGTTTTCAGGATGGCTGCATGGGCCGGATCTGACCTCATTGCGGGCCAAATTCGGCCTGCAGACCTTGAGTTTGACACCCCTGCTTTAGTCCTTCAAAAATTTTATTTTCAAAAATTGTTGATTTACGAAGGCTTATTTCATTTATTTGTTTTGTTTATCCCAACATGGGATCTTCCTTCATTTTTCCCACATAATAATTCTTTTGATTGGGTTGAGAGAGACTAGGTGTCCTTATTCCTAGTCCAGCATCTCAACTGCTATAACATATTGGTTTAGAGTCATTAGTCTTAAAAGTTGGCAAATCTGAGAAGCTAACCTGAGTTGAGTTCAGATATTCTTCACTAGGAACTTTCTGAGTGCCAGAGCTGTCATCTAGACTGAGAAGTCGAAACAACATCATAGAAGCATGTCTGTGCTGCTGTCAGGAAATCTAAATATGTCAACGAAATCACCAGGAATCAATACTGACTCAGAAGAGACTTTACCTATTAAAAGAACCCATGAACAAATTTCATCCTGGTTTTATAAAAAAGGTTCTGTAAAGAATAACTCTATATAATGCTATATTTCACACACACACACACACACACACACATATATATACACACACACATCCATACATACATACATACACTCCCACTAATTGGCCAAGTGTTCCATCTCTCAGGCTGGGGGGTCAAATACTAC